AATCTCAGGGAGTGCAGTCTGCGTTGGTAGGAGAGATGAAACAATCGTCTAACGAGTTTGGTCGCTCTACGTTGTGGAGCTTCGAGTGCATTGACGTGGCGCTTTCGCCAGGGACGCTAGGCCTGGATCGCACTTTTCACGTGAGGCCTCACGTGGGTGTTCAGCATTTGCGGAAAGATTGGTGGTTCAGAATTCCCGAAAGCCCTCTGTAAGAGTCCAAGATTTTGACTAGCTATTTTGATGCATTTACAGACCGTCTCGAGCAACCAAGATCTTACTGCACGATCACCCCGAGATCCTTTGCTTGGGGAGAATGTTGTAACTGCTGGTCCTCAAGTCGATATGCATAGATAGACTGATAGCGTATGCTTACGACTTTCCACTTGTTCACGTTATAGTGGAGTCGGTTGTCGGATGACCATGCATAAGCCCTGTCGTGATCGCCTTGCAATGTCATGTGATACTCCGATGTCTTGATATCATGCTAAATTTTGACCTCATTTGCAAATAGTAATAAACTCGACTGCAGTACACTGCAAGGTCGTTACTGAATGTTAGGAATAAACGTGGCCCCAGTACCGATCCTTGGAATACGCCACGCTGAACGTCAATTGTGTCGGAAATTGAGCTGCGGACTCTCACCTTCAGCTGACTTTGAGCGAGGAAGTTCCCGATCCAACCGAATATAGGGTCAACGATTCCATAGGTTCAAAGGTTGTGAAGGAGAATGCGGTGGTCCAAACGATTGAACGCTTTCGAGAAATCCAGGTAGGCAAACTCGACTTCCACTCTGGCGACGACCGACTCTGTCCAGCTTGCTCGCACTAGCAGCAATTTTGTAGTGCAGAATCAATCTCGGCGGAGTCCGTGTTGCTATGACACTAGGATGTCGTTGCTGTCAAGATATCCCATGAGCGCCTCTGCAATTATACGTTCCATTACTTTGGCTAAAACTGGGAGGAGAGTGATTGGACGGTAGTCCGAGGGCTCCGAACGATTACCACTTTTATAAATTTGAGTGACTACTCCATATTTCCACATTGTGGGAATCTGCATTTCGTCGAGACAACGTTGAAAGAACCGAGCTAATGGTTCGGCAGGATTCATGGCCGCTGTCTTCAATGACTTCGGTTTGATGTCGTCCACGCCAGGTCAGCTGTGCACGCGCAATGACATTTGCATTTTCATCACATTAGCTGCTGTGAACGATATGTGGTTTAACCCTAGTGGCGATGGAAGCTGTGTAAAAAGTGGACGAAATGATGATTCACTCCGGATAGGATGGAGGAAGTGTTAGCGAAGCACGTTGGCTGCATCTTGTGCACCTGAAACCTGGAGCTTGCACTGCACTCTGCAGAGTTTGTTGACGTGTTTATATAGCAACTTGGGTTTTGTAATGTATTTCGCCGCTAAGTTCTGTTGATGCTGGAGTTTGTCTTAGCGGATCAACTTGACGCAGTGGTTTCGTTGACCTGTGTAAGCACCCCAGGTCGGGTTACTTGTACAGACTTTAAGCGTTGCAGGCTGAATCCCTTAAGTCCATGCATTTTCTGGTACGGTTCCTCAGAAACGAATTCACTTACTTCGGGCGAAGGACCTTGCTTTCTGATGCATTTGTCACTAGCTCAGTGAATTGTGTGACGAACAACATCCAGACGACATCAGGCGGCTTCTCGCCAGAAAGGACCAGTCGGTTTCTTACACGAGATTGGACAGGATATCGTAATGTGCAACGACATAGGTTTCCAGATTGTTCTCCCTGATGTACTCCGAGTAACAGCTATAACAAAAGCGCAACATGGCGTGATCGCTACGGTCACGGTGTCGACCATTAGAGAGCACAAGGTCCAACACAGTGGGTGTGTCACCCTTTCGGTATCGCGTGGGCGAGATAACATGGTTGTACAGAGGTACATCGGCCATCATCTGTTGCAAATCAGCCTTGAATTGTTCACTGTGCGATGCTGTGATTTCGATTGCGTGCAGCTTGAAGTTCCTCACCAGAAGATCGTGACTGTGTGGTCATGCCAGGACTCGTTTCACCGCAGCAGCTAGGCATTGATCAATTTCCCAGGTGGATATTGGAGAGCGGTAAACTATCGCTAGTAAACACACATCACCATGTCTTATGTGTATACGATAACAAAGAAAAGCGACGACTTTCGTTCCTGGGTCCTCAATGAGATCAACATGCAGGTCGGATCGATAATACAGGAGCACTCCCCTCCTCTGCTAGGGCGATCGTTTATTATGGAAGTCATGCCGGGTAGTGCGATCTCAGCATCCGTGATCTCCCTGTTCAGCCATGTTTCGGTAATCATAACTAGGTCCCAAGGCGTGGAGACCTGACGAATAGGAAGTTCGGTTAGCTTGCTGAAAAGACCTTGTGCATTGGTATACAAGCAGGTGAGGACATCGGTGGTTAGAAGCGTGTTTTTGAAGGCTGGTTTCCGGTGAGGATCTAGGCCGACCGTTGCAGAGTCTGCTGCTGGTCGTCTTTTTGTAAGAACGATGACGCAGGCCCTTGGGCCAATTCAGGTCGTTGTGTAGAGCTCTCAGCACCAACAAATGGGTGACCATCTTATTCTCCTTCCGCTGTCGGTGTGTTTTGGCATTTTCTCCGTTCTGAGTCACTGATCCACTCTTACAGTGTGCCACCAACACCACACATCCTCAGATTGTGGAGCAGGACCTAATGGTTCACTTTATGGAAAGTCTTACTGAAATAAATGTAGATAGTATCCACTGACTTCCCTTGGTTCACCGATTGCTATCATTCTGCCGTGTCAACAGCAGCTGGTGATGCAGTAGCGGCCCTTCATGAAGCCGTGCTGTGCTGGCTTTAGGAGCTGGTTCGAATCTAACAGCTGGAGAAGACCATTTTTTACAGTCATCTCGAGCAGCTTCGTCAAAACAGTGGTGAGACAAATCGACCGGTAATTATCCACATTGCGTACGTCACCGCCTATTGGTATTGGCTTTACTACCGAGCATTTCCAGTCGCTCGGCAATGCACCCTGGGACAGCGATCTGTTGAACAGATTTGTCATAATAGGCGAGATGATGGCCGATAAGGACTTTAAAATTAGCGGGTGATGGTTATCGCATCCGGCAGGTTTCGTGCCGCCAAGACTGTCGAGTAGACTGCGGACATCTTCTACACTGCCATCAAGTTCATGGAGTTCAGTTGGGGTTGCACACGTCGAGCTCGGCATTGGCGCATTCCCACTTGTAACTGCGGAAGCGGAGTGTCCTGCGAATGCGGACGCACATTCAGTGCTGGAGGTCAGAGGCTGTCCTTCAGTGTCCTCTAGCACAGCTATATCACTTGCGGGGCTCAGGCTCCGTTTCACGTAAGCAAAAGTCTTCTTGGGGACCGTCTTCGCTGGGGTTGCGAGCTCATCTTCGAGCTGCCGACACCCTCGCGCTTTTTCGCTGTTGCATAGATTCCGCTGCCTTTTGTACGCCTCATAATCGTTGGCAAAGCCAGACACGAGAAATTTATTCCACCATACGCGTCGCCGTCGAGCCAAGTGACTTTACTGTCTGTCGAACCTAGGTGGCTTCACTGGTCCAGCTTTCCGATACTTGAGGGGTAAAAAACGTGCGCAGAACGATTGCACACCGACTTTATAATAGACCAGCGGTCTTCAACAGATGAATCCTGCGGCGGCGACCAGTCTACTTCACTCGTGGCTCGATTCAGACCAGTAAAGTTGGTATTGCAATAATTGTAGGACGGCTCCGGCGGACGCCATTAGGGCAGCGACAACTCTAGGCTGGCTAACATCATCGAATGGTCACTGGCTGCCAGAGGCTTCAGGACCTGGATTTCATGTGTACCTTGTTCACAACTCGTTAGTAATGGATCCAGGCACGATGGAGCGGAATGCAGCGTGACGTGCGTCGGTTGGCAGACATGTTGTGCTGCCCCAGTTTCAAACTTCGCCTCGATTTCACAATGCCCGTGGAGAAGTTGAACTTCAGGCCACCGTATTCGAGGGAAGTTAAAATCATCCATAAGCAGGAAGCGGGACGGACTCATGTAGCTTCTGGCATGCAGAAACCAATCCAGGCGTCGAGTTTGCGGGCTACGATAAGCCGCACCCACAAACAGTTCACCCTGTCTCAGGCAGAGCGAGCAGCATAACTGTTCCCACAACACCATAACTGTTCGCACAGCACCATAACTGTTCCCGAACCGGAGGGTACAGTCCATGATCTATAAATGTTGAATAAGTGGTTATCTATCTCCTGTTCCTGCCCATGTTCCTAGGAAGCAAGTGAAGAAGGACTATAAACGGGATGCTGAAGGGATCATTGAGGAGCTAATTTCTACGGTTCTTAGACTGTCTCTAGGAGTTAGAACTCGTAGCGCTCTTCGTCCTGAATAGACCTACTATCATCGTGGGAGCAGTCTTATAAGTCACTGAATCTTCCGTGAACCATCATCTCTCATACCTCTGTTTCCCTAAAATATGACCAACAGATTTTGCTGCATTGTTTCAAATGGAAAATGCACTTTTTTAGATAGTAGGTTGCTAATTTTAAGCTCTGTTAGCATAAAGTACATCTTTTGTTCTCTACTCAAAATGGTTAACTTTTTGGTGAACTCTGCTACAAATCGTTCTTCTGTCTGACCACCAAAATGTTTCTACTTCTGAGTGCTTTGGAAGTTTGGTAAATAAATCTTGGGTTCCCGGCTGTCCAAGCTATTATCGTTGCATAGTGGTAATCCACGAACTAGCGCATTTACCACCTTTCTCAGGTTGGTTAAGACTTTTTGGTTTTTGGTATTATGAATAAGGGTACAAGGGACTGTGTGTTCGCACCGCACTTCAACCAGTCCTTGACGAAGTCCAAAAGGGCTTCACTCCTCTTGATATAGAAACCTGCCCTGTTACTTGATTACCGGTAAAGCATTGACTTTGGTAATTATACGGAGCCCTTATCATTTAATTTGAGTAAAAGGGGAATGTGTATTCTTTTTCCTCTGATAGCGCAACTTCCGCCGTCACAAAACCATCTGGCGGGACATCCGTGTCGAGCAATGATGGCTAACGGCTCCATGAATACGCAACATCTTGTGGCCGGTCCACGAGCTTTAAACACTACAGTCCCTGTGTTGCATCCTCGCCATGGGCACATGCAACTGCCTATACAGGAGATGGAGGAGATCAACACGAAGGCATTGGCCCAGCGAATCAGTGCCGAACTGAAACGATACAGCATACCTCAGGCCGTGTTTGCTCAACGTGTCCTCTGCCGGAGTCAAGGCACTCTGTCAGATTTGCTGCGCAACCCGAAACCATGGAGCAAGCTAAAGTCAGGCAGGGAGACATTCCGTCGAATGTGGAAGTGGCTACAGGAACCGGAATTCCAACGTATGTCTACTTTGCGTCTGGCCGGTAAGCGGGCAGAAGTTGCAATTATGTGTACATTGTTTGCTTAACATGTTTTTTTCGATACCACTATCAACGAATGCTTTGTCGAACCCGATCGTCCACTGGAGATCCGGCCTTTGGCTCATGCTGCGCAAGTGAATTCAACGGAACATTCGGATTTATGTGACCTTGCCACTTATCGATCAATATAGCGTGAAAGGTTTCATGCACTCCCGAGTTAGGCAACGCCTGTACGATAGAATACATGCGCACATACGCGCACAAACATGCGATGGGAGTCACTGCTCATATGTGCGCGAACGCGTCTTTTCAATCCGCCACACAACGCACCCAAATCAGAAGTTCTTCGCATACAGCCGGGGCAACTAATTAGGCCAAAGTAGACGAGTGCATTGCGTTGCGAGATAGCTGTTCTCTATTTTGACTAAGGGTCGTGCTTGTTTCCTGCATCGAAACTTGAAATGCAAGTCCATTGATAAGGAAACATTTACGGTTTCTGCTAGTTTCACAAGGACGTTTGACTAGCACCATACAAAATCCCGATCACAAGTGCAGTGACCATTTCAGCCTCAGCATAAGATGTAAACTAGATGAATTGCGGTTGTGGTCGAAGAATATATGTTTGCCCACCATTACTGAACTTATGCACTATCGCGTCGGCCTGAGTTAGCGTGAACATGCTTAGAAAAACTAGTTCGCATAGGCGATATCGGATTAGTTGATAGGTTAACAATCGTAGGATCGGTCGAGCTCGTGCAAACTTGCATGAGGTGTCTTGTGAGAGATAGAGCTCAATACGTCCGAGGCTATACAATCATAGCTTAATTCGAGTAAACCGCATCATTTGGATTTGGGCTTAAGTGACCGTTTGGCTCCCAGTGCAGAAAAGACATGCGTGAAGAGAGTGCTGGGGGTTTCCTCGCCGCTGCCATAGCCCGGGGAATTAGTTGTTAGAAAAAGCTTACACTCCTAATAGTCGTCAGTAGGACTTCCGAAAATTGAAGCATTCGATCGAAGCCAGCCTGTCCACTTTGTTAGGAGCGACTGACCTTGAATCTCGGTTGATAACAACAGTATATTTTGCATGTCATGTAGGTGAATAATTCGTCTGCTGTTGAGAATCATGGAAAGGGAAGCCCTGACATTGGTGGTCCTTTCCGAGCAGCCACTGTGACTTAGTGCCCACCTCGATCGCAAAGGAGCCTCTTACATCTGGTGTCGGCCGCTGGCCGAGTGGTCTTCGCGCCTCGTCTGCCATCATAAGGTCACCGGTTCGAATCCGTGTACGGGTGGACGTACTCGTGATACCCTCAGCCGCCACGCGACTAGTGGTGGCCGCGTGGCAGCGAAACGCCGTTAGGCATTACAGATAGCGATTTCTTAATTTAGTGACATCTGGTTTGGAGTTACGGTTTCCTCATTGTTGTTACTTCTCGAGTAAAGTACACGTGGACTCCGAAAGAAGCACTAAGAAAAATGCTTTTCATGTTTTAAGTGGTGCTCGCCACAGCATAACTAGGGGCTATACCCACAAGAAGTCTCCTTGAGTTGCTCAGCTCCAACGAATACCGCGAAATAGGGAATTCTGAGGTTCGGACTTCGCTGACACTAAACGCAACTCGCATGAATTCGCAAGTACGTCCCAATTCAACGAAGATACTTCGGCTTTCATGCTCGCTGTGGATAGTACACGGTTCTCCAACGTACACGCTTAGATCCTTGGAGCGCATAGCTATAATTCTTTTTCTCCCTCTTGTCCTATCGTGTAGTGATTTCAGTACTGTGTGGAATAGTTGTGTGTCCGGAATATCGTAAACCAATAACTCCCTGTCAACCATAAGTTGATTGGGTCTAGTAATTGACTATCGTTGTACACAGTTGTTACAATGAATCTGGCACTCCCACCGCCGGTTCTAGGGCGCATTATAAGGTACACTGTCCTCAAGAAGTGTTTCTGTAAACGATGCCTTCATATGTGGCCTGAATTTATTGCTCCATCGAAACGCCATCATCCATTCCTGCACAGTTTTGGGGCTCAGATTGATCTTGAAACATCAACAACGCTAAGACGATTGGCCCATCAATGGTAATAGAAAATTATGATCCATTCTCATGACGACGTCAAATGGGAGGCAAATTTTTCCATAATCCAACAACGTAAATAAGTTACGGAACACGCTGACATCAGAGTCACCAATAAAAACAAGTCGAAAAATACGAGATGATAATATTGCAGGTAGGTGACATCAACCCGGATAGGTGATCCCACGGTCACCTTGTCCTTCAAGGATTCCTTCCAAATCTTATCCTCTACAGCAACGTGGTTCGAAGGTGATATAGCACTGTGGCTCTATGTGCTAATCTCTGGTTATTTGATATCGCTATCCATAGTACACTTCTTGATTCTGCCTCCTGCTAAGCGAGAGCCTACGTAGTGAACAAGGTCAGTTTCAGTAGGGACTACCAGTCGTTGGATAGCACGCACAGCTTCTAACCTTTTGAGTAACGTAACGTTCGTTACTCGTCCAGTCCCATCCAGCATACACCCAGTATATATGTTCATTCACTTCGTGATACGCGATGCTGCTAAGAAAATCTCGTATATTTGATTAGACGGTCGGATAACTACTACGTCTTCTTGGATGGACGACAATTCAGTTGACTGGTTTCATTCTCACTTCTCGTTGCCTGACACCGGTCAAAGTACAGAGACCTCCCGTTTGATCGCAACAAGTCAAAGCGACTTTCGTACTGGATCAGAGAGTATCTTTCATCCTTTGACGACATGAATTGAGCAAACAGAAAACAACAGCACTGGTGAACACGTAGTCATGGCCTTAATTTGACCTCACTCTAATCTGTCCACGAACTGCCGCGCAGGTGCGACTTTGTAGCACACTCGAGATTGCTCCGACCAACTGTAATAATCTTAAGCGTGACAGTCGATTGATCAACAAGCATCGTCTCTGTTAGATAACCAGTTGCCTCACAGAAATGAAAGCAAAAGGTTGATGCTTCATATGCCAGGTAGGGATTATGATGCCAATGGCGTTCAGAGTTTCCATGAATAACAATGATTATGTAGGCCTGGTATCGCTAAACATCTGGTGCACGGTTGTAAATGGATCTATCGTCTGTGTTTCCCATTCATTCTTCAACTGACGGCCTCACAGCTTCGCATTTATTTCTCTGTCAAACTCCGTCTAGAATTTTTTTTACAACAGATGTCCCTTTTTGTTTAGGAGCTTCTTTTCCATAGTATACAAGCATGCCAGGTCGCGTGAGTAGAACATTTTCACTCCATCTCACTTTGGCCTGAATCCCAATAGGTTTCGCCCCTTCCTGTTCTGCTGTCACCGAACATTTTTACAACGCTTGTTTGGTGTTGGTAAACCTCGATTCAAATTGTATCGGTGAGGTCATACAGACTATAATTACAACGAGTACCTTAAGGTGAGGTCAACTAGCATGCGGACGGCTGATAAAATCACAGCTTCCACTGGAGTAAACGAGGCCTCCTTTTGTAGCGCTACCAGCATTAACGAAAACACGCCGCGTAAAGAAATTCATGATTGAAAAGAATTCTAAAAGATGAATTTTTCTATCTGGCTCAACGGTCCTAGGCTAGATCTGGGGAATTTAGTGAATAGGGCTTATTGGTGATCCGTGAAATCCGGCAGAAACAAGATAATTATTTGAAGGATGTTTGTGAAATCTACCATCGCCCTTTGGACTTCGGATGGACAGTTACTTCGGTCCACTGGGAAGTGACGAGTGAGTGAGTCGATCTGCAACACCAGGACAGTTACTGTGAGCTGATTGGCAATACGTCGCACACCAAGCAGAAATAAGATAGTTGGCAAAATTTAGAACCTAATTCTCCGCTGGACCTTTTACTCTACTTGATCCATCCTACGTTAATGTCCTGTTCGCATAAGTTGAAGTACACCAATAGGTTAACATAGCAAACCAACTTCTCGCGATATTGAGCATACAAACAATTTAGTCAGGAAGCACCGGTTCTATTTCGGGATGCCATGGTTGCCCCGAAACTTTCAAGCGCTAAAACCAACCTTTTCTATTGTTGGCCCTGTTCAAAAATGAAAGAGCTAACTGGTGTAGGTTTGGCTCTTCTATTCCCATGAGTTCGATGAACGCAACTTGTCGCAGTAGCTGTGGCACGAACATTTCGAAGCGTTACTGAAGCAGGTGGCGCTGATTGAAAGGGATGATGTATCAAACTGCGATAGCGGTAACCGTAGACTCCTACTATTATGCCTCAGATAGTGTAACTACCGGATGAGAGAAGACTAGTCATACTCTATAAAAACACGGTTTGTTGCGAGCGTAGGAGCGAATTCTCTTTGTTTCGGACTAGAATTTCAGGTTGCTAATTGCACAGTAGCATACTAAATGGCGTAAGGGGCGGTTCTGCTGGAATCTCTGTGCAACTGATTCCAAGAGAACATCATAGCGCTCTCTTCCTTGCACCGGAATCGGGACGTGTGAGCGGCTGATGTTTACTTTTGTTAGGACCGATGGTCCATAAATCGATGGATTTAACCCTTTTTCTTCACACTGAGCTTATCCTACTCTGTTACTTACTTCTGCCGTGGTTGCATGAGTTCAGGCATCTTGATCAACACTACTTCAGCTCAAAGTGCACTAAACTAGACATGCGCTCAGTATGGGCATTGGTAAGCAAGTAAACCGAATAGGTGACTATCGTTCGTGTAAATGTATTCATCGTAGTGAGGCGCTTTCAAGCGAATGACAGTGCGACTTAGATGAACTAATCATTTTCCATAGACAGTGATGTCTCCAGGTTCATACAAAGCGGATTTGTTATGGTCTCGATACAACAATAATTTTCTGGGGGACCAGCAGAGTAAACAGGATGTCTGCACACTCACTGGTGCTTGGCGAAGGAACGTGGTCATTTGACTCACGGAGTTACGGTGTCAACCGTTTCATGTAACGACCGATATGTAAAGTTTGACTAATTTCCGCTTCACGACTTGCAGCATTCTTTTCTGTCCTATGGCCAACAATTTGCCCGGATAAAAAGGTGTAGATGCCTATGATAGTTACAGAGGAGTTCAGGACACACAGACTCCAACTAATTCACGAGTATTAGGCACATGATTGGAAATTAGTTCGAATCTGAGGCTAATGAACGCTTTGACATGACATAGGCGTTCACAATTCATTGACAACAAGGTAACACTTATATCTGCCTATACACTGGGTCGGAGGAGAACCCAAGAAAAACCATCGATATATAACGAAGGTCTGTAGAAACTGCCACATGTTCCTTGCCCCAGGGAGTCCAGGATGATGTTTGTTACTAAGTTAAGTTTCTAACCGAACGGAGTGCCTTGGTTGAATGCTTAATGTTATCTAAACTAGCAACGAAATGTGCGATAGCAAAACGCCCAGCTCAGAGAACAACCCTATTCCCCCACACCAGAGGCTATTCGGACTATGATTTGTTGAAAGTCCGCCTCTGCTTCCGGTCAGCTAACTTGTTGGCGCGCTTAAGACTTTCCAACCCAAATTGATGCGACTTTATGTTTTCTGGCAATTGCATTCCAATAATGCTCTCTGTTTACTTGCACATCAACCCAATCCCTTGGAGAAAATGTGTTGTCGTTTGCTTTGTGTCCCCTTTTCTCTCCTCCGCTCCTCAATCTTAATGGAGGACCAACAGCTTGCAAGCGTAAGGAGGTGCAGCACATGAAAACTGCCGACGGTCGACAGGTGAAGAAACCCCGCCTCGTGTTCACAGACATACAACGGCGCACTCTGCATGCCATTTTTAAGGAGACGAAACGCCCAAGTAAGGAAATGCAGGTAAGCGTAACGTGGACTCTTTCATTTCCTGTCTTTGTCTTAGCTACCTCGGTCTCAGAGCCTGAGCTTCACTCATTTCTGAAGGACGCTTCAGCTCGTTGTACAAATTCAGTTGCTCATCTCATTGAATTTAAATCACAGTCATTGTTAGTTTAGCATAGACATAAACCAAGTGCAACTTCAGGATGCGTCATATCACGGACACGAACAAAATTTCGGCCGGTGGCCGAAGTCATAAGGTCACCGGTTCGAATCAGCGTAGGGGCGGGCGTCCTCGCAGTATACACAGCTCACGCGCGACTGATGATTGTTGCACGGCAACAAAGCGCCGTTACGGCGTACAGCTGACGATTATTATCATCATTATTAAATTTCATGTAAAAACCTTATGGTTACTCTCGTGGTGCGTAGCCTTCTTGTAACAAATCTTGTACTTACCCTCATGTCGTTGACCAATGGAACGTAATTGTAACCGATTTAAACGAACGTTTGACAACAGATCGCATGATAATTCGTTCGAGTTCTTATACGGATAGGTGCCCTACTATTTGAATTGAGTTTGCCTTTTCTCCAACAATACGGACATAAATGTCTATCACTCTTCCTCAGGTGTGAACAATCACCTATATCGTGCTCGTTGGTAAACTGCCTTGTGACACAAATACAGGAGTTATTGCTATGACCCTGCAAAATATTCGTTGCAGTAGATACAGCATGCGCAGATGGGGCGCTCTACAAGAGATTGGTATCGATACACCTGACTGAACATGTCTCAGCCAGTCGAGCAGTGTCGTTCTGACAGCAATTTGTAAATCGAAGTCACCTGGAAGGCAATAGAATGTGCAGCCTGGGTTTGAGAAACAATCCAAGGCAATGGTATTGCTGGTAACCGTCTACAGATGCTAGTACTCAAAAGTATCCTTTTACTCCCTTCCGTCACAGTCCTCTTGTGGCTCAGGAAGCTACACGTGGGTTGCATGTTTAACTAATCTTAGGTTTAGTCGTATATTTCGGGGTATCTACTTGTTGAGTTTACTTTAAGAACTACTGTTTATATAACGCAAACTAGGTTCATAGTACCTATTGCTATCAGGTGAAGCTAGGTGACCCACCGACATAGGCAAAATACAGTCTACAACACCTCGAGTGTTTTCCAGTGGCACCGCAATTCACTTAGCCGTATACTGAGAATATTGGTAACAACCGGATTCCCCCAAACATCTGACGTACACCCGTAATAACACTCGGTGTCTGTTTCGTCCTTTGGGGCTCCACTGGCAGAGTACATCTCTATCGCACCCTATAGCGCAAGAATCAGCAACTAGCAACTCCAGAAACGGTGGCTTAAGCCGTTGCGATGAAGTTAACTGGGATAGGCCACTATGACTAGGTTATTGGCTGTGATATAGGACGCGTCTCATCCTCCAGTAACATGAATCTCATAACAATGAGCTGGTTAGGATTGACCTCCAGAACTGCAATGAAGTGATTATAGGTGCCGTCCAAGCCTGTCTCCTAAATGGAGTAGCGTCAACTCGCTCCAAAACATGTCAAAAATACTGCCACTTTCGAGCACAGAGACGTTTATTCCTGTTTCTGGATGATTGCTTCCACTCCCAAACAGAAGCCGGCTCTGTGGTCTCAACCACACACTGGCAACATTCGCGTTGTGGGTTTGAGCTCCACAGGGATCAGCTGGAATGCTCTCTGTTGACGACTCCCGAAAGGATGAACTGGCCGTAGAGTGCCTTTCCGGGCAACTGATGGATATCTGACTGAGCCTAAATGTGATTAATTTCTATTTATAGAATTCATCTCCCCTTGTAAACTATAATCTCTCACACTTCGAAATGCTTCTAGGCTTCCTAACAGCAGCAGTAATATAATTAGTACATTAGAGTAAAGGTGACTTGATAGGCAGCAAAACCGTTTTCACTGGTGTCTTCACAATGTGCCACTACCTATATACCCGCATGGATTCTTTAGCACTACGCACATAGGTGAGGCCAACGTAGCGTCTGTAGTAAGAGACAAACTGTGCAATGTCTGTGTGTGTGCGCTTAGTACTAATGTAAGGTGACACTAGACCTTTAGCACTGGGAATTATTAAGTGGTCGGCTTCAAAAATCCCTGTCCTGGTCGACAACAGTATGGCTGAATTTTCGCACTGGCTCAGGTGCTTGGCTTCCAGGGACACGATACATGCATTCTAACCCTTTAGGTTTAATCAACGCTACACCGGCAATCGTTGTACATCTCATCTTTTCGTCATTGACTGCGACCTAGTTTTCATACTGCTGTTAAAGTGATTGGCAGCAGTCGTTACTGGATTTGACTGTCACGGCGACTGTTAACAACTGCAGGATGCCTGCGCCGATAGAAGCACTATTAGTGGCCTGCGCGATGCAGCGCAGGCCTTCATCCCACACTCCTATGTAATTCTGAAGAAAGGGAAGCCATGTGGATGGGGGCCACGCTTGATTCAGAGTAAACCATACTCCTTTTATATGTACATTATATATTTGAACAGGAAGAAATACACGTACCAGATGCACATACGCGATGGCTGAGCCGTCGCCTTCAACACCTGATAGAACCACTCTTTGAGCTTAACGTAGAAACTGTGCTTCTCGTCTTCCTCAGCAACGATTAGCAGTCTTCTGGGACTAGTAATCTAAGTGGTGGTTCTCGGCAGAGGGGTTGCGTGTCAGTATTTGCACCCAGCGCAGCCACCCCGGGAACATCCATCAGGAAACGCTGTCAAAATGCAACAAAATAGACTCACAAGCAGATGTACAGGTTAATAGCATCGACGATGCAGCCTACGTGCCGCATTGTCCTGGGATAGTAAATAAAACTGGAAACAGCGTGCTTACCATGTGCCGACACTCACCCATTTAACCTACCCGTCACCTCTTGGATTTGGCCTCTGGTGGCTACCTTGATGGCTTACCAGTGAGGCTTGACTGAGGCACAGACGACCGCATGTGTTACAGCACCATTTGCTTGACATCGATGGGATAGGCTCCACCAACGCCTGCCGCTTACGTAACCGGCGTTTTTCTTCCGGATGCAATACTCCTTTCCATGCACCTAGGCAATGGGATTCCTAATGTTATCACGTCGTTGGTGGCTATTCACTGCCGTTTCCTTGCAATATCTAGTCTCAACCTTTGTTAGTGAAAAGCTCACTTTGATCATGTCCTTGGAGCTCGGCAGCTGTTTCCCGAAGTCCTGCTTCCCTGCATGCAGTTGGCTATACAGAAGGTGCCTCGGTATTTTGGGAGGATCTTTACGCCAAACATGTCCGAGTCAACTCAGATGTCGCACTAATAACATGTAAGCTATCTCAAAAATGCTCTTGTGCCGGAACAACTCCGAGTCGAGAATGTCGCACACCTACTGATGCGCAGAATTCGATGCAGGCATTGTTGCAACATCGTTCCAGGTACCGCATTTACTTTATGTACTAAATCCACATGCTGCAGTAGAGGATAACCGGCAACACCGTTGGGGTGTGTACCGTCAGCTTGGTTACAAATATCAGTTGATGGATCCTCCACACCTGACGTTGAGGCTTGCCGAAATCCCCACATGTTTCGATATGTACATGCGCAGCTCACTGGTCATTTGCAAATCTGTTGACAATGTGCTTCACATGCAGCAGTGTTGCTGAGTTTTCCAAAACGTTGTCAATTGTTTTAAGTTGCAAGCAGCCAACGGATTCCACTCCTGGGGATGGCTGAAAGGTACAAACAATCTTACCCGTGTTGATGGTGAGCCAGAATTTGGTTGTCGCCGAAGTCAAATCCGCCGTCATATGTTGCAACCTATCCTCGTTGTGTGCGAACAACGCGCAGTCGTCGACACACAACGTAGCTGGATGGTTGTATCACGCACTGGAGCTCTCGCATGGAAACGATGGATGTTTAGCAACCCACCATGCATGTGGCGCTCGATACCTATGCTGGTATTAGGTTGGTGTCATCCGTTTCCGGACGTATCCATTAGGTGGCCTCCAAAGGACAGTCACAGGACGCCTGCGCCTACAGAGGGACCATGGGTGGCTTGCGCTGCTGCACCCACAGCTCCATCCACATAGCCCATATTCCGCGTAAAACCGAATGAATAAGACGGGGAGGCATGTGGATTGGAGTTACGATCTATCGGAGTCTACCCACATTCCTAAATATGCACAGCATCCCTGTCTGATTGACAATCATGCGTACCAGATGTCTACAAGGCGGTTGCTGAGTCGTAGACGATTCTACACCGGTTGGAACCACTATCTAAGCCTAGCAGAATCTCGAAGATTGTGCACCCCATCACACCAAACAATCATTTACACTATCCGTTACCCAGCATAATCGCGATGGAGAGTTTTCAACAGGTAGATACTTTGTCCACAGTCACATCATGTGCAGCCAGATATTGCATATCCCAAAGGAACATTGGTGTCAAACGCCCGTCGGACATCTAGTAAGTCCTTACTACCAAGGACAAGAGGATTACTCGTGTCCAAAAAGACGCAAGCATGCGTTCAGTCAGCCGGATCACAGAAGACTAATTTCTCGATACAGCAAGACGGGAAATTTCACCTTGCTCATACACTTGCACATCATTGACAGGGTCAAGCACATACAGTTGACGAAGAATACGAAGAACCAATAGCTCCACTAATGGCATGTAACCGAAAATATTTGTCAAAATTCTGCGTCGCAGATCCAACCACCATTCCACCTTGATCGATGGACTAGTTAATACAGACGGACATTCCCTTCATGCTCCAGCTGCCAACTGTGAAGCGTTTAGCTTAATTTTCGCTACTACCATGAGCCTGGAGGCGGAGCCGTTAAATGCATGCATTGGGATGCAAATAACCAACGCTCTGTGTATAATTGTATTTTCTATCAATACTATCCAATATGTAATGAATTTCATTACACAGTCTTCCCATCTGGATTCCGATGGTATCCCACCTCTAGCATAAAACTAGGAGGGCCTGACATACCGTTGTTATTGCTGAACATGTTTGCACTTTCGTTGGAATCAAGCTACTTTCCAGACCAGTGGAAAACATAGCTCATCAAGTCACGTCACAAGCGTGACTCTAAACCGAAAAATGACAATTACCGGCCAACCCATCACACCCCTTTATTAACCAGATTATTAGAGAAACTGGTTAAGAATGGTGTGATGAAATTTATCAATTCGCTGGAGCTAATCGACAGGCCCCAAGGATGATTTCTTGGACAAACGATCGTGCATAACTTGCCAATTGTATTAGCTAAACCATGTTTCGGATCCTATTGACTCAGGATACGCGATCATACTTCTGTTTCTGGCCATGGAAAAGGCATTCTATCGAGTGTCCTACAAACGTCTGCTGAAAAAGATTGCTTCTTTTGGAATCCAGGATCTACTCCTAGGCTGACTATTGTCATACCTGAGCGGCCGTTCTCAGATAGTTACCACAGCCGGCCGCCACTCTTCACCGCTTCCAATCACTAGTGGAAATGCTTGGTCCATTACTGTTCCTGCTGTACGTCAATGACATCAATGCGTTTATTAGACATAGTATACTTTTCCTATTTGCTGACGATAGTCTGTAAATGCCGACGAGCTGAACTTCAAGACACGCAACTGGTTATACAGGAGGAACTTAACTCCCTTGAGAAATGGTGTGACACGGTTGCGGAAGTATTCAGTGCTAAACTCTAGCATAGTATATCGCGGTTATTCGATACCCGAGGGATCTATTACACTCAACGATGAACACTTTTGTGTACAGCTGTTTACCAAATACCTCAAAATCAGGTATTCTTGCACTTCCAACTTCTCCGATCAAGTTGAATATCAACTGACCAGGTCCAGAAACTCAGAGGCTACTATATTGTGTATGATCCACATAACCCCAGCCAGATAGAACTCTTCAAATGACCAGTCGTTCCATTTTGGAATATTGCAGTATCATTTGTGGCAGCAAGAGGAAATTTGACAGAATATCTCTGAAAAGCCTACAGAGGTCATTTACTAAAAGTATGCTAGGCATGACTTCTAGTAGGAACCATCGGGATTACTGCCAACATTTCCACCTCGATCCGCTTTGGTCATGAAGATTGAGGCATAACCTGATGCTTCTGTGCAACATGATTCATCAAAACGCCCACTGCTGTTCGCCTTCCTTAGAATTACATCATAGGTCGACAACGGAGCTACGCAATAAGGAGTTTACCCTGAGTGTACTCAGATGCAGGGCATAGCTGCGGTCCAACTTTTTCCTTATTAGATATACTGTCCTGTGGAATAAGCTCCCAGTCACAATCAGATCGTGTGAGAGGGCAACGACCTATCCCGTTGAGCTCGCTAATCACCTAGACTTGAACATGATTATGACTTTGTTCTCCTGGGAGAGATCACTTGATGAGTCGTTCCAAGAAGAGCCAGACATCTGATGGGTGAAATAGACAAATTTTACGCAATGTAGTACACCCTTAGTGCTGTTTCTATCCCTTGCTCCAACTAGTCACATTGCGTTGAAACACACCTTTGAGTAAATTCATACTCTTGAAACAGCAAAGACAATGAAAAGCACATAACTGTTTATCACTCATGCATGAGCATGACATTTTTCTGTAAAATATGATCTGTGCCATATAACAACGCAGTTTCTCACTCGATGTGAAATATACATATTATTACTATTATTATTGTTGTTATTATTAACTAGAGTTTAGCCTGACTGTGAGAACGAAGCGTGTTCTATCTTCGTCAACGTCAATCATAGCAACACATGCTGGTATACGCCATGTAAACCCATAGAACAAAGGACAAGTTATTCCTTACCAAGGACTGAAAACGCTTGGAGAATGCCCATAGATTGCCAGATTCATTTGGCCTGGAGGAAAGATTCTAACAGTTAAAAATGTGCTTTCCAAGTATTCCATGACGGTTCAGTTTAAGTAAGTACAAAAAGCAACGATCTGGATACTGAAGTGCTACGGATCTAGCTGCCAAGTTTCAAATTCCAAGGCTAGCAGTAATTAACAGTGGTGGGGAATTTAAGGTAGAAATCAAGCGGAATGAAACAGGTGGGGTTATGGAAACAACCAGTCGGATTACTCTGACTAGGCAGTTAACAGCTCGATGCACGAAATAGGATCAGGAGTGCTATCAACTTTGAAACTGCACTATGCCCCACAATATTGGCTAAAACTGACGCAATATGTCCATAAAGCCTCACCGACTGGGCCGGTACGCACTAGATCGATCAAATCTCACGTTCAACTACTTCGTGTCTTTATGCCGGACCATCGGCAAGCCTAGTAGCTGTTCCACCCCACTACGCGCAGCGACGACGCATAATGCACGTTGGGGAAGGTGATCAGCGTCATAGGGGGGACATGAGCAAGCCATCATAAACGGGTTAAGTTCGTCAAAAACTTGTATCAGAGGGATTCTTTCCAACCCGCAACTATCGCGCCTGAGTATTTCGCACCTGGTGACGTGTGCAATGCTCCGCCCAATGCAGTAAGGCAGTTTGACCGCAGTGATTCGCGGCTCCAGGATGATCGTTGTGCTAGATTGGCGAATTACCGACGCGAACAATCTGGCTTGCTTAGACTACCGTGGGCCGTAGGTGGTGCCAGAGCCAAGAGAGTACTTCTGCGCCCGAGCCCATTTCCATTATCACTTTGGCTAAAATTTCCATTCGAATTCATTGTCTAGCTCAGTTTCAATGAACAAGTTGCTCCTAAGGCAGTTCTGCGAAGCAAATGTCTTATCTTGCCGACCCATAGCCTTAAGGATCACCAGTCTGTTTGTAATCCGAGGGCACGGGTTCGCGCCTGCTTAGGGACCGTGCGACCCTGGCAATATCCTTAACCTGCGCGAGACAGGTGGTGCTTGCGCAGCAACCAAGTGTCGGTACTGCGTACCGGCGTACTGATGATGACATTTTATGTCTCATTTTCAAATTGAATATGGCAAACCAGTGCAGTTACTTATGATGGATATATCTGTTTGTTTAATGTCAGGTGTCCGTGATAGGACTCACCTTCATGAATTAGTGTGCTCGGACCAGACGTCAGAAGGTACCAATTCATAAGAAGCCTTTATGATAAAGCACTGCGGTTGCTGTTTTCGGTTAAGCACATATCGACTGGGGTGACACAAGTTTTCCTCAATCCAAGCCACAGTCACCCCTAGTAATACTTTCTTAGCAAGCAGATAAATGATATTTGTCTATTAAGCGGAAACGGTTTGGACTGAAATTTAATTCAGCTGTTAGTGCACCAAGGGTGTTGTAACTAGGCTATGCTTCAAATCCAGCACTCCGATTTCTTCCGTGTCCGATGACCACAGTGTATGTCGCACTAGGTCTGCGGAACTGCAGTGCAACACGAATATCTTGTGGACGGTTTGATGCCACTGTCACAACCTCTTAGTAAGCGGTCGGATCGAAGAGAATGATTGTCCATGGATGTCAGCATAAGAGAGCGCAAGAACAATGATGCACGTGACAAACGAGATAGGTAAGGAGAAGGGGAAATAGTAGCCGTCCAAGCCAGCCCCATCCGCGTCTTGACTTCTGGTGTAGTACAAGAACACCTTTGAACTCACCACACAACGCAAACTTCACTGAACCTATAACGCGTAATACTAAAGCGTGCGCACAGCTGAGCTGCAACACGTGGGCATCATATGACCACAAACCAAGTGGGATTATGTTTTGTGCACTGGATACCAAAATACGTCTGCTTTTTTGTCCGCTCTACTTCTCTACTTCGCCCAGTTTGTCAAACGTTTCTATCCACACTTTATGGTCTACTTACAAGCAAGACGCTACTTTTCTTTTCCTGCCCTGGTGTAAGAGATTTTGGAGGATCTGTGGTGTTGGCAGACCTCGTCCTGTATGGTTGTGAATTCAAGTGGTCTTTTGCATTTTATTACCTCTGCCCCTTCTTGTATACTTCTTAGCTCACCACTATAAAATAGCTCAGATATTCAACGTGCTCTTATCCCTTCATTTGTGTGGCGTAACTTGTGCCTAGCCAGTTCATTTAAACAGAGGATTAACAGTGTATGGCACATATTAACGGCGTTGATGATCGTCACGCGCCACGTGAATGCGTGCGTACACGCGTGGGAACATATGTGTCGAGATGCAGGTGTGGCGGGTTGTTGTGGCCAGTGGGAAGCAGAGACTTTGAGTGAACATACGACCACATGCGGTTGACGGATAGGAGGAGAGTAAGACTAGCCAGGCCGGTAGGACAGCGTAGACTCGTGCCACTTGTTGACGAGATGCCACCGGCTGCATTGTGATATCAGGCCCAATAAGCTGCATCAGCGTGGTAGCCTCGACGATTTAAGTTTTATCATTTTATTTAATTTAATCTCACCGATAAAAACACAACCTCCCTTTAAGGTATGGGGCTCTTGAGATTTTAACTGCTGCTAAAAAGGTTGATGGGAAGCAACGGGTAATGGCGAAAACTCTTCGGTTAAAAGGCTCTTCACTGAACTGTGTCTCGACGTTATGCTAATAGAACTATTGTTATTCACCCCTAATTTTTTTGGCCGTACTAGGACAATATCACTACTGATTGTTTGTATTATCTTCTATTCTCGGTACCTTAAATTTGACGCGGGACATTACATAATTTTATCCCTTTCCAGTCTACTATCGCTCAACAACTCGGACTGGAGGTTTCGACGGTGGCAAATTTTTTCATGAATGCGCGTCGACGCTCTTTGGACAAGTGGCAGGAAGACTGCAGCAAAGGATCCAGCCTGGCTGACTCCCCGTCACCCGGTTCTGCTTCTAGCCGATGTAGTCAGCGACAAAGTAGTCGAACAACAGGCCACTTGAAAGAAGGTGATTTTGCCGTCGGTGGACCCTATTCGCCTGGTCAACGCGGCCGCCCTGTAGGGTCTACAATTGTCTATTCGGCCCCGGCATCTACGAATAAAATGGACAACGGCACGTATCCCCCGGGAGCTCGCAATGACATGGAGCGCATGTTACGTTGTGGTAGCTTGAATGCGTCAAACAAATTCAGCAACCATCCCCGGCCACCCCACAATATTGATGAACAATTTAATGTATGTGGGTCACAGGTCTTCAGCAGCGTTCACAGAGGTGGTCCGGCTCCTTTTGCGTCCTCCAACCCACAAGCCCAAGTATCCACTGTTCCGCACCCCATTAATGAGGGGTTGTCACAACTTACTTGCAATTATACAGAATCACGATTGCCAACCCACCACAAACTGCATTCTGTACCACAGAATGCTCATCCAACTCCGGCTCAATCCCATCCTCTGCAACCTCATCATCAGCAACAACAACATCCATATCAGCACACCTCGCAACAACAGCAGCCGCAGCAACTGCTGCAGTATGCGGAACTTACAGAGCGCACCGAAGCATTTCCTGTCGGCCAACAGAACGCCACCAGTCCCCACCCCAATGTACTTGGTCCGATGGGTTTCGCCAACCATTCAATACAGAATTCCGGTGCTCCACTCACCCAACCCACAGTTAGTTTTCCGCCCACGGGCCTCCATGCTCATTTACCTCTAGGTCCTTCGCAATTAGGTCTTTTTCAGCCTAACGGAAATGTCAGCAGCAGTGGAATACGAAACCACTCGTTTATGATGCGCGATTTCGTCGGAGCTAATGCATTCGATCCCAATTTTCTGAACACTATTAGTAGTGGGCAACGTGCTCTAACCCAACAAGCCCTGGAGTTATGCAATTCTTTGGCGGCAGCTAACGGCGCCACCCTGAGGGAAAAAACACCAGAACAGTTCACTAACTATCAGGAAGTGCGCAACTCATCCTCTGCGTCCTTTCCCGCACACCAAACCAAAAGTGATGAACTGAGGGATAACGACTTCATTGAAGATGGGAATGAAGAAGAGTATGGGGAAGGGGAAGAAGAAGAAGATGAAGATGAGGAAAACGAGGATACAGACAATGAAGAGCTGGAGCGCGCCCGTTCAAATAGCTGTTCGCCGGATGGTTCCGTTGAGCGAATTCCATCAGTTGAACTGAACTCTTCAAAGAGACAAGGCCTAGATGAGGTGCATTCAGAGTATTTTTGCAACAATGAACTGGACACGTTTAAAGACGAGTTGTCCAGTTTAAGTGATGCCATATGCGGACTGATCAGTTCGGATGAAAATGATCCCACCGACACCACCTAAGTGCTCGGATTTCCCCACTGGTGGAATGTTTGTTTTCAGGCTTCCTTGAGTTTGTTCGAATGTTGTTTACTTCCCAGAGTTTATTTCGATACCACGATATTCCTTGTTCGCGGTTTTTGGTCCTGTTAGCGGCAGCTTCCTAAGCGTTCTGTGTTGAATTGAGCTCTTCAGGCAGCGGCTAATAACCCCGCGTGTACGTTTTGATAGCACTGCTTGCAGCGCCTTACAATGTCGCACCACTGTACAGAGCTTGGCAGGAAGAGTCTCTTGTTATACATTTTGATGCCCGTATTTTTGCACCACACATTTCCTTAAGTTCTATGCGGCCCTCAGAGTGTCATTCTTTGTACAATGTCCCCGGAATTCGTTCATACACACAATTGTTTTCCGTCTGTGAAACAAGTTTCAATTGTGCCCAAATTTCGAAGCTCTCGTTACTCGCTCCCATTTCCTTTTCAACCTCTAATCCTCAATTCTGGTGGCACACGATTTTCATACAGTGTCTTTCGTGCTCGTGTCGGTTGTCGTTTGCAATCCACTCGCCCCATAAGGCTCACCGCCAGCCCGCCCAGTCTTGTCGCCGTCACGTACTTCTCGTGTTTTTTGGCTGCAGTCTCTTTCACAGCGATTAAGTTCCATACAGTGGACTCACTTGGTGGATACACTGTCTATCGACTAGAAGAGAAGTCATCCCAGTTTTCCTCTTTCCCAATTTTCGTCTCCCCTTTCCCCATAATTCCTTCTGCGTTCGTGCGAAGATATGGGACGTGCAAAGTGTACATTCCATAATTTTCCTATTGCACTTGAACTGTGAATCTTGTGTCAGACACCGTAGTCGGTCCAAAAATTCTGGGTCACCCGTGATGTGTGCCTGCTCATCTCCCTTGTATGGACTGTTAGTGGATCAGCGACGTGAACTGAACCCGTATCGCTACCTATGTTTTAAGCTAACAATTTTCAACTTAACCAAGATCATAAAGCGGACTCAAATTCAATCAGGTTTGTCTAGGCACTGCATCCATAGGCAGCAACATTGCAGTCAGCACAAAACAATAGGTTGTTTGCAATTGCATTTCTGAGGGATAGGTAAGAGTTCGGCATCGATTAGGAGCGACCACCTCCGAAGGAAAGGCGCGAACCGATGAGGAACGTGGCATGCATTTTATTCAGCATTCGTCAAGATGTAAACTTTGTCACACGGTACTGCTTCTTGAGTTAAGTGTCTAACGGATCAGAGAATCCAATTGGTAACGCTGCTTTATCCACTGAAGAATCTAAACCGGTCGTACAGATCAGTCACACCTAAAGCCTGGTAAGGACTTGTGTACTTCGGTTCAGTCGGCAATCCATGAGGTTCCTGTGAGGTTGACTTAATGTAAAAACGCCGTGTGAATGCAGTCACAGATAAAGTCGCATTTGTCATTTGGTCTCATAATTAGTCAATGTGCTGAGTATCGGGTAGGGAAAACATACTTCTCACAGGAGTTAAAACAACCTTAACGCCCATGTGTCTCAATCTACACCGTAATGCACCGGGCTTGGTTCACGAAGTATTCGACGCACGCGGTGTCAGAATACCAAGGGAACCGACTCAACCTCCTAAAGCCATACGGCAAGCTGGAAAGGAAACATACTTACCCACTAATAAAAGGATGACGACCAATTGGAGGTCCTTCCGAGCACATGTAGAGAGTGGATTTCTAAAAAACTAGCGTTTCATAGTGGGTTCGCTGAGAAACCTTAACCTGCGGTGGTACTAGTCTAGTCTAAACAGTGACAGTATTTTTACACACCTTGCAGGTCTAGGTTGTGGAAAATTAGCTGAGCGTAAGTGTGATGCTAGCGTTTGTTTATGGTATGTGGCACTCTACAGTTTTCACTTTTCTGAGCTGAATTTGAAATTTATTTTGAAACCCCAAGGGAAATCGGTCAGACTCCATGCGAACACACCTCAGTACGCACATGCAGCCGGGGCCTGTTGAACGGTAGCAGAAATGCCACAGTTAATTTGGCTGTCTTAGAAATCTGGTGCGTCTATCCGGTCGAAATTGCTACAACACACTTGCTGCCGGTTTGCTCCTGGTTTGTTCGGTTTGAGATATGACCTAGATCTTATCGTCCGACGGTTCACCCTGTAGTGAACCGCAGGCTAGCTTACACAATCGCTTGCTGCTTTTGGCTGACTTAGCTTAATTTTTCAAATTCCGATACTGTTGTAAGGTACCATTATCTTACGGAACACCAGAAGTGCAATTTCTGTAGCTCAGTATCTAACTGTCAACATGGTTGAAAGCTGTGATCTTACCACTCTGTTGAAAATACAACGCGGTGCAAACGAGTCCTGTTATAGAGAATCCAAATCTAGATACAATAATTCGAACATAGAAAACCAAGCCCATTTTTATGAGGCTGTTCTGAGTCCCGTTCCTCTGCACACTTACATGCGTAGCTTATCAGTGATATTTTGTTGGTACACTACTGGTCTTTCGTCCGCAGCGATCCAAGCTATCACTGAATTCCCCAATCCTGTTAGTTTTGACATGTACTACTCATTAATAAATTACTGGTCTCGCTGTTAAACGATTTCATCGGGAAAATGCGGCCTACAACCTAATTCATCTTAGTGCTTTGCTTTATTAAAGTGCCATCCTAAAGACTTCTATTCTCTTGAGGCCAACTTGTAATGTGAATACTTGTTCTCAACCTGGCCAGATATCGGGGTTCTTAACTAGAGCAGCTTGGTCTGTGAAGATAGGAGACCTGGGTCACTCACCCCATAAAAAGCCACACTGTTAGTGGTGGAACGATGAGCCCTCAGGCGATGGAGATAAGCTTCGAGTGGAGAACTTGCTGTGGGGCTTACCGGCGTCGGTGATGTGAGCAGCAGCTAACCCCATCAACCGGACCATCATCACTCTGTACTCTGCCTGAGTGGCTGATAACATCTTGTACGATGGCAGAGCAATAAGATTCCGGGTATGCAGTACACAGATGAGGTGCAGGGGACATGGCAAGAAACATGGGAACGGTAATCCATTCAGAAGATTGTTCAGTGTTTTTGGAGTTTAAGCATGGGAGGCGGTTGCTGGATGATGAGGCACGGTGTGGTCGACCTATCGAGGCCACCAAGGAGGACAGGATTGCTGTAGCGCAAGTGTTGCAGACGGGGAACACGCGGGTGATTGTGGCACAGCTAGGGAGAGCCATTGGCATCTCATTGGGAGCAATCTGCGCCATCCTACATGCTAACCTCGGCTACAGAAAGGTTAGCGCATGCTGCGTACCCTATCAACTCAGTGCGAACCAGAAAGCAGCTCGGGTGAATTGGCGTCACACCATGCTTTCCAAGTTTGATGGTGAACGTTCTAATGTTGTTTGGGAGATCCTCAGTGGTTATGGGACTTGGATGTATAGTATCGACCCACAGACCAATCAACAATCGGCTCAGTGAACGGCCGCTGGTGGGGCTCCGCCTCAGAAAGCCTGGCGTGAGCGAAATGTGGCCAAGCAGATGGTGGTTATTTTCGTGGCCAAGACCGGTCTTCTGGCTAGTGTACCGCTGGTACAGCAACGCGCAGACACCGGAGACTAGTATGCCAACCACTATCTGCTACTACTGCTATGAGCTGTAGCCAGGTGTTGGCCAAGGAGTCAAGCACGACGGACCATGCTACAACATGACAACGCACCTGCACACAGATTCCATGTATTCGTAGATTTAAGGCTTGAGCACGCATCCAAGAGGTTGGTCACCCACACTACAGTTCAAACCTGGTTCCGTGTGACTAGATGTTCCCAAATGTAAAGCGCATACTGAATACTGTATAATGAGAATAGTGTGTGAGAAGATATAACTCTGTGTTGCGCCATCGTAGGTGGATCGGGCACCTGCGCGGAATCACCTCACTGATTCCTGTGTGGTAGCAGCAGATTGCAGCTGCACCACATCTTATCCGAGTGCGATGCGCTCCCAACACATGTAGTCCGCAAAGTGGGAGTCAACGAATCTCTTAAATTCCGACGCCGATTTTGCCCCGATTAGCGTCACCGTCAACTTGTTCCAACATTTCACCACTATACCTTCGAAGCATAGAGGGTGAGCGATGCGCATTAAATCCGATTTCACTAGTTTGTACTGTTAAAAACGTGTGCTGCATGGTGCGCAAACGTGTATCAGCTGCCTCAACATAGAGAAGTGGCCCAGTACCTGGTGCGTCACCATGAAATCAACTCAAAGCCGATGGCAGGGTATACAGCCCTAGCCTCCTACATCGGTCCACGTACGACATACCCCGTAAACTGGGAATGCGCCGGGTAGCTACCTGCTGCACCAGTTCCAATCTCTGCACCACACCAATTGTAGTCGGACAATGGGCGGGTGCGTCATAATCAAGCACCGGTCTTATCATGGAAGAGAACAGACGGGTGGCAAGCTATTCAGACCAAGTGCATCACCTACCTCGAAGTGCCCAAAGCAGACCCAGTCCGTTTGCGTATAGTCTGTTCGTGTTGTCGACAGACTTCAGATCACAGCGTGAGAATATGCCTAGATCCTTTACGGAACTGGTGGGATGTAGCTGGTGGCCGGCCAGGATGAACGCACGCCTGTTACCACCCTCCCCAAGCTCATAAACGAGGACTTGGCCGGGTTGACCGGTAGGTTAACTTTTGCAGGCCACCGGGATAGGTGGTCGAGGTCCTGCTGAAGGACCTCAGAGTCGTCGGGAGAATCAATACTCCAAATCTTCAGCTCGTCAGCAAATAGTGCACGAAACGAATGAAGAAGCTGAGGCACTTCGTTGATGAGGATCCATAATACAGTGGGCCCCAGTACTGTGCCTTGGGGTAAACCGCTAGTGGAGGGGTACCATTCCGTTAGGCGGTTATCCACCTGAACCCGCCATCTTCTCCCAATAAGGAAGTCACTGATCCAATGGTGCAGTGTGCCATCAACACCACACATCCTCAGATTGTGGAGCAGGATCTCATGGTTTTCTTTCTCGAAAGTCTTACTGAAATCAATGTAGATAATATCCACTGACTTCCCTCGGTGCCACGTTTGCAATCATTCCTGCCGTGTCACCAGCAGCTGGTGATGCAGGAGCGGCCCTTCATGAAGCCGTGCTGTGCTGGCTTTAGGAGCTGTTTCGAATCTAACAGTTGGAGAAGACCATTTTTTACAGTCATCTCGAGCAGCTTCGCCAAAACAGTGGTGAGACAAATCGGCCGGTAATTATCCACATTGCGTTTGTCACAGACTATTGGAATTGGCTTCACTACCGACCATTTCCAGTCGCTCGGCAATGCACCCTGGGACAGCGATCTGTTGAACAGATCCACCAAGGCAGACGAGATGATGGCCGATAATGACTTTAAAATTAGCGGGTGAGGGTTATCGCGTCCGACAGGTTTCGTGCCGCCAAGACTGTCGAGTAGACTGTGGACATCTTCTACACTGTCATCAAGTCCCTCGAGTTCAGTAGGGGTTGTAAACGTCGAACTCAGCATAGGCGCATGCCCACTTGTCACTACGGAAGCGTAGTGTCCTGCGAATGCGGACGCACGTTCAGTGCTGGAGGTCAGATGCTGTCAGTCGGCCGGTGGCTGAGTGCTCTTCACGTTTGGTTTGCAACCACCGGCTCGGATCCGCGTAGGGGTGGGCGTCCTCGCGGTATACTCAGCCCGCGCGCGACTGGTGGTGGTCGCGCGACAGCGAAGCGCCGTTACGGCGTACAGCTGACACATTATCTTATTATTATTCAGTGTCCTCTAGCACAGCTATATCACTTGCGGGGCTCAGGCGCCGCTAGTGATCTAGAAAACATG